AACAAAACCCTGAGGACACGACCTTGAGCATTAAACCCCTGCTCTTCTGTCTCCTCCCAGGCCTGTGGGGTTGTTGTTGAAGAAGGTCCCGTGGCCAGAACTGGTGCTGTGGGTCCAATAACATCCATCTACTTCCGAGACCCCGATGAGAACCTGATTGAGGTTTCCAGGTACTGCAGCCAATGAAGGGGAACTCTGAGCACAGCCCAGCCTCTGCCTGTGTCCCAGCAGGAGACAGGATGCAGAGCCCAGCCTTTGGATGGCCAGCTCCAAGCTTCTCCTTTGTAAACCTAGAACAAGTCTCAAATCCCAGCCATAAAAGTAGGGCTGCATGGATATTGAGAGTTTTCCCAAGGCAGAGTTTTCCTGCTCAGCTCCCACTCCTGGGCATTTTTCCTAATGTTTGGCAGCTGAAGCCCCTCATTCTACAGAAAAGAACCTGCCATTCCTCCTCTCTTCATGGTCACTTTGACACAAGTGAAGATTTCTGTCTCCCTTCCTCTCATCTCCTGCTGGTCTTGTCTCAGGCCTGTGGTTCAAATCCAGCTGTGAGTGTCCAAACACGCTTCCTCTCTGGGAACTGGGAACTTGGCCTCAGTGTCTGACACTCAAAGACTCCTGGAAATGAAGCCCCATCCTCCTACTCAGCTCTGCATCAAGAGCCACAGGGCTCCTGACTCCAGGGATGGGAAAAAGCAGAGGTGAGGTGGCAACATGATGGGGAGAGAGTCTGAAGTCCTGGATTTATGCAGGGATGAGGAGGGTGGTCCACTCTGACTGATTGATTGCACTTGTGGGACTGCCCTAAGTTTTCTGCTTTCTTTAGTTGGTTTAAAAAAAGGAATTTCACAGTTATTTCAAAAGCAGAAAACAAGGAAGGAGGACCTGGGGCTTCTCCAGGAGAGCAGTTCCCCAGCTGGCCACACTGAGGCATCGTTTTCATCACGGGGACAGCGCAGGAGGGCAGGGAGGCCACTCCCGATCTCCACAGACAAAACCCTCTGTAAAATTGAAGCAACCACTTAATTGTATTTTTTTTTCTTACTTTAATTTCGCGGGGAATCCAAACATCTCCATGGTGCCGAAAAAGGCGAAGCCCCCCCAGATGTGTTTTGGATGACCAGAAGCTCGTACAGGTGGGGACCGTAGGGGTGGGAGCTGCTTTCCCTTGGGTGGTTTGTGGGAACTAAAGGCCAGAGTGTCACGGGAGAAAGCCGCGGGCATCGCTTCGCCTTTGCCTCGCGAGTGGAGATCCGGGAAGGGACGCCCGGGATGGATCCCCGGGAGCCGGGGGCTGCTCTCCAGGGTGCTGACGGGCCTGTCCGGCTGCCGCGGGACCCCACGGGTGGGTGCTGCCCTCGGGATGGGGGCGATGCCCACGGGCATCCTGCACACGCCAACTTCGCCCCCTCTCTACTTTCAGGGCTACTTTCTACTGCCCTAATTTTTGTTGTGGGACTGTAGAATTGGAGACTCCCCCAGTCATAGAGTCATAGAACCATGGAATCATGGAATCAGCCGGCTTGGAAAAGACCTCTGAGATCACCAAGTCCAACCCTTGATCCAACCCCGCCGTGCTTCCCAGACCATGGCACTGATGCCACATCCAGTCTCACCTTAAACACCTCCAGGGACAGAGAATCCACCCCCTCCCTGGGCAGCCCATTCCAATGGCTGATCCCTCTCTCTGCAAAGAATTTATTCCTAATATCCAACCTAAACCTCCCCTGGCACAGCTGAAGACCCAACCCTCTTGTCCTACTGCTGGTTGCTTGGGGGAGGGGCCGGCCCCCCCCCCGGCTCCCCGCTCCTGTCAGGGAGTTGCAGAGAGTGAGGAGGTCTCCCCTGAGCCTCCTCTTCTCCAGGCTGAGCCCCCCCAGCTCCCTCAGCCTCTCCTCATAGCACTTGTGCTCCACTCCCTTCCCCAGCCTCGTTGCTCTTCTCTGAACCTGCTCCAGCCCCTCCAGAGCCTTCCTGAGCTGAGGGCCCAGAGCTGGACACAGCACTCCAGGGGTGGCCTCACAGGGGCAGAATCACTTCCCTGCTCCTGCTGCCACCCTGTTCCTGATCCAGGCCAGGATCCATTGGCCCTCTTGGCCACCTGGGCACACTCTGGCTCCTGTTCAGCTCCCTGTCCATCCCCACTCCCAGCTCCCTTCCTGCCTGGCTGCTCTCCAGCCCCTCTGTCCCAGCCTGGAGCTGCCGGGGGTTGTTGTGGCCAAAGGTCAGGACCCAGCCCTTGGCCTGGTTGAACCTCATCCCGTTGGAATCAGCCCATGGATCCAGCCTGTCCTGGTCCCTCTGCAGAGCCCTCCTGCCTTCCAGCACATCAACACTCCCCCCAACTTGGTGTCGGGTGCAAATTTGCTGATGGTGGACTCAATCCAATGGTTTGGGTTGGAAGGGACCTTAAAGATCATCCAGTCCGACCTCCCTGCCATGGGCAGGGACACTTTCCACTAAACCAGGCTGCTCCAAGCCCCCTCCTGCCTGGCCTTGGGCACTGCCAGGGATGGGGCATCCAAAATTTCCTGTAATTATTGATTACTAGCAAGGATCCTGCCTGGCTCTGGTGTCCTTCCAGCCACTGAGCTTGCCACTGTAAATATATTTGTGGAGAAATGTTCTCATTCCTTAATTTAAGGTGTCATTTCTCTTGGAACAGCAGTAGAAAGAAGGACAATGGCTCTTTTCTCGTTCAGCCTGAGAGGAGAAGTTCAGGGCTTTGGTGGCACCATATTAATCTCTGAACACCCTCAGTGTCACACAAACTGGTCTGTAATTTTCACAGGTAATTTTTTTTCTCTTTCAAGGCCTCCCTTGCCAGGGTTTGGGCCTCCTAATTTGTTAGGGATATAAAACATTTGTTGTCTGATAATGGAAATAACAAGTGAAACGTTTTCCTGGGTGGGGATAGTGGAGGCTTTATCAGAGGCTTTTAGAGGAAACTCCATGAGTAAAAATAAAAAACAAACAAGAAAACTCAGGCATGCCTTTAGCTCCTGGATGCTCTGGAAAAGCCACTTACTGCTTCAACTTATCAGTCTCCACAACCCCCTGACAGGAGGGGGGAGCCAGGGGGGGAACAAGGGACAGGAGGAGAGGGAACGGCCTCAAGTAGCACCAAGGAAGGTTGAGGTTGGACATCAGGAGGAATTTCTTCCTGGAAAGGGCTGTCAGGCACTGGAAGGGGCTGCCAGGGAGGTGGTGGAGTCCCCACCCCTGGAGGTGTCCCAGGAAGGACTGGATGTGTCACTCAGTGCTCTGGGCTGGGGGACAAGGTGGGCATCGGGCACAGGGGGGGACTCCATGGGCTGGGAGGGCTTTTCCAACCTCAGTGATTTTGGGACTCCATGAACTGATAAGTGAACCAATAAAAGGAAATTGAACCCTACCAGCCCTCCTATCCCTCCCTTTCCTAATTTTACACACCATCTGCTGAAAGGTGTCGGGATTGTGTCTGCCAGGACAGCCAAGACATGAAGGTTTCTGGATCTCAGGGACAAACTGCAGCCTGAAACACAACTGCAAAGCCCTTTTTTATGCTCCAGCACCAGCAGGAGAAGGGTGACAGTTCCCTCCTCTCCTGCTCAGCTTCACTGCAACAGGGCATCACTGCAGCACGGAGCAGGAGGCATGGAGAGGAGAACATGGGAATAAAGGTTGGGACACTGGAACCACTCATAAGGGGCTTTGTTCCCTGCACCACAGCCCATCTCAGTTCTGTCACACATATGGACCCCTTGGACAAATGTCGGGCTTGTAGAGGACTTGGAGGGCACTGGATCTGTGGATTTCAAGTTCACTGGGCTGGAAAACATGGAATTACATGTTTGGTGTGACCTCACACCTGACTGGAACCAAGGGAAACTGGAAACTTGTCATGGAAACCTGGCAAGTGTTTGAAATCTGTTGCTGGTGGAGAATCACTGGGTAGTTGGGGTGATCTTGTTGGAGCACAGCCAGGCTTTGCTGGCTGAGGGCTGTTGTCCTCAGCAGGAAAAACAACTGGGGGGGGGCTCAATGTGTATTTTACCTTGGAGAAACCACTGGGCACAGTGTCCCTGCTGTCCCAGCTGTCCCTGTCCAGCCTCTGCTGGGTTCCCCATCTTTTGGGAAAGCCTCTGTATCTGTGTGTATTCACATTAAAACCAAAAAAACTCATGGTCTGCCCAAGGTAGCGTTAAAACTTTATGCAGAAAGTGAATTTAATTCTGTTCTTCGTTCAGAAAGATTTTCTGTGACTATCAGGCAGTGTGAGAGAGTGGATTAACAGGTGAGCAAACAGTTTTGTCCCATTTCTGGATAGGGCATTCTCTGCACAAACCACTACCAGGAAGATAAAGGAACCTGCCCACATTCCTTCTTGCCTGCCTGGTCCCATCTCAGCCCCCTGGGAGAACAACCCTCACTCCTGCAGCAGGTTCTGTACCTTTATTGGGATCATATTGGAAAGAGCCCTTTGGATCAGCAATCCCAGTGTTGAATAGGAATATTGAGGAGTTCTCCATGTCCCCACTCGGGAAGGACACAGGGGAAGGAGCCCTTCAGGGAATGGCTGCTCAGGAGTGTGAGAACTGAGTTAATCCCAGCTGGAAAGGTGAGTTAAGAGTCTCAGGAAGCTTCCCCTCCTTTCAGGGGAGAGAAACAGGAATTTCCCAATGTGAGTCACAGCATGGATGTGCCCGAGCCACCACCTAGAGATGCCCATGGGCTCTGTCAGCTCTGAACAGGTGCCTGGGCAACCTGTGCCAAGGCAGGAGGGTGGTGTGGCACAGCCCTGGGATGGGCAGAGATCACCCCCTGGGAGGCATAGGGGCTGTAGGACTGATACAGGGCTCCTCTCCTCCCAGCTGCCTTTCCTTACAGCTTTTGAGGGTCCTTGAACCATCCTTTGTACACAGACAAGTGGCAAACACTTCCCAAAGGCTGGAGAAACAGGAGGCTTTTACTGGCAAAGCAAAATAATCCCTCTCTGCCAGAAAGCTTTGCAGGCAGGGCTGTTTACAGTAAGGGATGGATTTTCCATCTGGTCACCAGGACTAACTAAGCATGATCCCAAAAGTGCCCAGAAGAGCACTAAGAAAAGCACACGTTCCGCAGCTGAACTTCCTCCTCTTCCCAGACTCAGTGGTCGGGCGTTGTGCCCAGAAAAAACCTTGGAATCCAGCTTTAAAAAGCACACAGACACGGCTCCTTCCGGGGCAGCAGCTTCCCAGTGACACCCCAAGATTCTCAGGGATTTCCATGGGATTATTTTTTATGTTTGTGGTGGCCTTTCAGCTGCTCAGAGAGCGTCAACCACGAGCTGAAATGTACTCCTTGTACCGAGGGCTGACACAGTCACACCTCCTGCCCCGGGGGCTCCTTTTGGGAGTGAAGTGTCTACTTGAAGGGGTGGGAACATTCCTGGCACTGGAAATCAATAGTAAAGCACCAATGAAGAAAGGAATCAGTTTCACCGGGACAAACCCCTCCTGAAACCCCCCTGTGCTGTTCCCTCACAGGCTGCAGGCCAGCTGGGAGCTGTCTGACAGGTTCTCCAGGTTGTCCACCGTAGTGATGATGGCTTCTATTTTCTCATCTGGGAGCACGTGGGAGGCGTTGGATCGAAACTTCTTCAGGAGCGACTCCTTGCTCAGGGGCTTCCTCCAGTGCCCGTAGAAAGTGTCACACTTGCCCGTGAGGACGTCCCCGCTGTGCAGGAGCAGTGCCACCTCCCCGTACATCTTGTCGAAGTTGGCCACGTTATCCTCGGGGTGCTCCACCACCACTTTGTCCAGCAGCTCCCTCAGCTCCTGCCGGTGGATGCTGCTCTCGGTGAAGGAGCCGAGCCCGACCTCACCGTCCAGCAGGGCAGCACAGGCGTTGAACTGGAAGGAGTGCCTGGCCTGGTGCTCGGAGCTGGGGAAGGGCCGGTTGATGTACTTGGACACCGGGATCTTCAGCACGATGGTGCGGATCAGGGCGGGAGAGAAGGACCCCGCGTAGTGGACGAAGAGGTTCCTCACAGACAGGGCAGCATCCACCACCCAGTGCATCCCCAGGTGGGCTGGGAACCGCTTGAAGGCGATATCCTGCTTCTCCAGGAGGAACTCGTGGTGGTCACCGGGCGCGGGCAGCGGCTTGGGGTGATAGACCCCGTAGAAGGCGCTGAACCCGGAGCAGCCGGGGATGTCGTCCAGGATGAAGGGGTTGGCCTCCATGCCCCGGGCTGCCAGCAGGGCCGCCTCGAAGCCCAGGCGGGTGGCGTTGCCGATGTGCAGTGGCTTGGCCTGGGTGGCGGCGTTGGCCATGGGGGCCCCCGCCAGGGACGCGGCGATGCCCAGGGCGTGGCAGCACTGGGCCCTGCTGAGGGACAGCAGCTTGGCCGTGGCCGCCGCGCTGCCCATGGTCCCCACCACCGAGGGAGGGTGGAACCTGCAGGGGAGATGGCAGGAATGAGCATCCAGGCCCCTGTGAGGCTGGAGCTGAACAGTCAGCCGGCGGAAATCCCTCACGGCTCCGATGCGGGTGAGAGTCACCTGACTCAGAATTTATCCGTCTGAAAATGAAGCATCTTTCTGGAAACTCCAACAGCGCCTCCAATAAACAATTTTGCATTTTCTCTAGGAGTAGGTGACATGGCCTGTGTCACTACACCAAACTTTCTACCCCTCCAGACAAATCTGGCCTCATCCAGCTTGCCCAAGGAGAACAGTTCCTGGTCAGTGCCGTGCCTTGGACCACACCGGGGCACTGCTGGTGAGGGGCAGTTGGCACAGGGGCTGTGCCCACTGTTAATCTGTCAGCATGGCTGTGAGCTCTTGCCCTGGTTGGTTGAGATGATGGCACTGCAGGCCCAGTGAGAGTCCTCTTGGTAGCTATTTTTGAGGCAAGGACACTGGAAGTCACCAAATAAATACCTGGTGCTTCATCACCTCTGGCGTTTGGCTCTGGGTAGGGCTTTACCCTTACCCTGGGCTAACACTGACTTAAACCAGACTTAACCCAACATTTTGAAACCCAGCCTCACCTTCTACTCAGTGAAGAACAGCCAGTTTACCTTTTTGGAATGTCGTGAGCCTCAGTGGAGAAATGCATGAGCCTTCCTTGCACTTCCAGGCCCACGTTAAACGCCAGCAGGAAATCCATGCCGGTGGGTTTGGTGCCGGGAGGCAGCATCTGGGAAGCTGCCAGCAGGGCTGGCAGAACAGCCCCTGAGGGGTGGGTAGCAGGGTGCCAGGTGTCATCAAAATCCATGGAGTGTGTCTGCCACAGAAATGGAGATAAGGCCATGCTGGTGGGACGTGCTGGGGGCTGAGGGAGCGAGGGCTCCTCGCTGATGTTGCTGAGTTACAGCATCCCCCAACTGTCCCCAGGGGGGCTGTGTGGCCCCTCTAAAAGCAGGAGATTGCAGAGGAGCCCCTCCCAGTGACCCCCCCGCTGCCTGCAATGCTCACTAACGCCTCTGAAGGCACCACACAGGGTGGGTCCTCCTGGAAGAGCTCCGATCTTACCGCGACTCCGTTGGTGAAGGCGGCCAGTGTCGGAGACAGCTTCACACCTGGCTTGCCATAGACAGAGCTCACAGCAACTGGAGAGTACAGCTCCTGTGGGAGGGAGGGGAACCCCGGGGAGGACCTTGTCAGAGACTCATTAAGGTTGGAAAAGATGTTTGAGATCACCAAGTCCAACCATCAACCAGCGCCACCGCCGTGTTCACCACTAAACCACGTCCTTGAGTGCCGCATCCACGTGTTTTTTGAACACTCCAGGGATGGGGACTCCACCACTGCCCTGGGCAGTCTGTTCCCATGGTTTACAAACCTTTGTGTGAAAAAAGTCTTCACAGAATCACAGGATATGATGAGCTGGAAGGGACCCACAAGGATCATGGAGTCCAACCCTCAGCCCTGCACAGGCCCATCCCCAAGAGTCACACCCTGCGCCCCAGAGGATCATCCAAACCCTCCTGGAGCTCTGGCAGCCCTGGGGCTGTGCCCACTGCCCTGGGGAGCCTGGGCAGTGCCCAATCACCCTCTGGGGGAAGAACCTTTTCCTGAGATCCAACCTGACCCTGCCCTGACACAGCTCCAGCCGTTCCTGGGTCCTGTCTCTGGTCCCCACAGAGGAGAGATCCCCTCCTGCGGCAGCAGGGATGGTGCCACAACACCCCTCCACCACAAGGCAGAAGCCCTGTGCGGGCCAGGAGGTGACAGCGTGGCTGTGGCGGTGCCAGGGTGGTGCCAGGGGGCCGTTCCTACCCGGCAGTACCGCAGGGCGATGTCGAACACGTGGGTGGTGCTGCCCACCAGCCCGACCCCGATGCTGTCGAGGATCATCCTCTTGCTCCGGTGCCGGACGGTCTTGGACAAGTGGTCGGGTCGGGCGCCGTGGATGAAGGAGGCGAAGCTGCTGGTCACGGTGTCCTCCGGAGCGCTCCTGGCCACCACTGCAGCACCAGAGAGAGGGCAGGGGTGAGCCCACCGTGGGCCCCGTGCCGGCAGCTCCGCACCCTCCGCTCCCACTCAACCTGGAGGAGGACAAAGCTGAGGGAGCAGGACCCGCCCGAGCCAGGGGGGCTCGTTTCAGGTGGTCCTGCGAGGAGCAGGGAGCTGGGATTGATGACCCCCACAGGTCCCTTCCCACTTGGGATCTTCTGTGATTCCATATCTGCTCCGGGCACCTCCTGGGGTGGCTTCCAGCAGGTTCAGCTGAAGCAGTTCCAGAGCTCAGCCCCATCCCCTCACCTTGAGTTTCCAGAAACCACTTTTTTCTGGGAGGATCAATTTAAATCCCGTCCTTTTATCTGGAGGAAAGGAAGCCCTGCTGCGTTACCGGTGGTGCCCTGCTGGGAGTGGATCACATAAAAGCAAAACCTCCTATAGTTTCCATCATTTTTGGCAAGGAGGACTAGACCCAAAGTCTGTATTTATCCAGAAGTTTTGTCCTATGAGGCACTGAAGTGTCTTGGCTCAGCCATTCTCAAGCCCTGTGCACTCCAAAGGATGTTAATGCTCAAAAATGTTAAAATTCTGTCGGAAATATACAGTTTGGGACCGCTGGACTTTTACATTTTAGTGACAAATTGCTTTGTTTAGATGAATTTATAATTCATGGAATTATATTGAATTCTAGAATTAGAATACAGGGTATAATTAATAGAATAATGTTTCAAATGCATAGAATTATAATTGTTATGGCCCATTAAAATTTATAGTATTAATTTGAGAGCCCACATGAGAGTAGAAAAAACATAAAATCCATTATAGGTGACATTTTCACGATGGCAAATCCATATATATACATGTTTATATATGAATGTGGGGGTGCTTACCTACATGCACACAGATAAGAGATGATATTAACCTCCAAATTAGCTGAACCACATAAAATAATCCAGCTGAGTGAAGCAAAAAAAAAAAAAACCCAAACAAAACCATTTTGCTTCAACATGTGACAACTCATCCAAAAGCAGGTACACATGAGGTTTTGTTTTTTAAACAGAAAACATGGCAATTAATAAAATGACCATCCCCTAATTTCCCATCCCGAAATGTCATGCCCGCTGACTCAGTGTTCCTGCTCGTGTTGGGCTCACCTACAGCCCAGGAGGCTGAAACCACTTGGAAACCCAGCTGGGAATGTCATCACCGGGTGACTCACGGGGAGAAAATTCCCCCCCTCACGGCGGCTCTGGGAAACGCATTCCTATAGGAATCCGGGACGCTCAGCGCTTCGGACACCTGCTGCCGAGCTGGGGGCCTCTGACAGCACCTCCTGTCCCCCGGGAGCATCTCCTGTCCCCCGGGAGCATCCCCCGTGTCCCCCGGCAGCATCCCCCGTGTCCCCAGGCGGCGGCACCGCCGCCCTCCCGCGGGAGGGAAGGGCGATGTCAAACGGGCTTGGAAAAGCTGCAGGAAAATCTGCTCCAATCGCACGGCACCCCTAAAAGTTGGATTTGTTCCTTCCCGTCATCAAATGCTCTTTGTCACTTCAGCAGGCAGCGGTATTTTTTTAACCCTTCAGCTTGAAGCGTTCCATGACTCCCGGGTTTTTTTCTCCCGGTGTGGCAGAACTTCATAAAAGAATTAAAGGCTCTGTCCAAGAGCAAATAAATCTGTGTGGGTTGTTAGGATTTCTCTCGTGCCCAAGTGTTCATTAAGCAACGTTCTTTGCATTTAGTGCATTAATAATGCATTTTAAAATCAGGTAATGGACCTAATAGAGCAAGACCACGTTTTAAAAGAGGTTCATAAACTTGTAATAAATTAGGAATGCATTTGAAAATAAGTTAATAAACATAATAGACCAAGAACATGTTTTAAACTAAGTTAATAAACTTATGATAGAAAAAGAGCACATTTTAAAATAAGTTAATAAATCTGTAATAAGTTAGGAACACATTTTAAAATGAGTTAATAAACTTATGATGGAAGAAGAACACATTATGAGTTAATAAATATAGTAGCCCATGTTCTAAAATAAGTTAATAAACTTAATGACAGAACAAGAACACAGCTTAAAAAAGTTAACAAAGATAATAGACCAAGAAAATGTTTTTTAAAAAAAGTTAATAAATTTATGATAGAACAAGAACACAATTGAAAACTTACAGTAGATTTTAAATGAGTTAATAGACAAACTTATTAGTAGAAAAAATAGACCAAGGGGCTACGCAGGCAAGTTCTGGTTAATTTGTCCAAAGCTGGGCAGTGCTGGAGACACAAGAGTGATCCATGAATCCCTCCAAGCAATGCCCACAGCAGGATCAGGTGCAGCAAAGAAGCAAGGACAGAGGAATTAAGGATCTGAGCAACCCCATGGCAGCCACGATTTAAATCTCTTCCTTTTGGGGTCAGAGAGGAAGAATTTGAAAAGTCTGGTTCTAAATCAGTTAAAATTTCTGGTTTAACACGGGACTGCCAATTATTCTCTGCTTTTCTCCTTGTCCTTTAGCCCTGAGGGCACAAACCCACCCCAGGACTCCCCAGACACGCTTCGCTTTCCAAGGATTTGGGTGGTTTGTCTCAGCCCGGCGCTTCCTTTTAAAGCAATGCCACGATTATTTCGGGATGCCCCTTAAAAAAGGACAGGGAACTCCTTTCTGCAGAGGGATACAAACCGTGGGCAGCAGTTTTGTGAACGTGCCGGGAGCTTGCCAGGAGCTTCTGGGATTTCTGGAGGAAAGACACAGAGAGTTTGTCACCGGAGCTTTCCCGGAGCAGTTTTCCTGGTGGTGCCTCTAACGCGGCACCGTGAGACACACACAGATCAAAGGAGCACATAAAACCAACTACACACTTAAAGCAGGCACAAAATATTTTCCAAAGCTGAGTCCAGCAGGGATGCCAAGAACATCCAGGGAAATAAAGCTGCACAGTGGAAGGGGCGGCAGAGCCTTTCCAGACCTGCCGTGAGATCTCGCAGCTCCGAGAAAAACCCACACGGCACATCCCAACAACAACAACCCCACGGGGCACCACACGGGGCACGTCTGGGACACGTGGAAGGAGCAGGCAACAGGTCAGCAACTCAGTGAGGTGACTGTGAAAACCATCTGGATTTGTTCATTTTGGGGCAGGTTCCTGTTTAACGCCACGAGAATTTTTGACCGGTTGAGGAACGGCCCGGAAAGAGATGTTTCCTCCTCGGAGTGAAAAAGGAAAGGGGTGGGGAGGGTTTGGTGGGTGGAAGGGTTACCTGTAGGGTGGAGTAGACCATGCTGGTGGCTGCTTTTCCCAGCGCTGGGTGCCCAGCTCGGCGCTGCTGCGGGCGAGGGATGCAGAGGTGTGTGGCTGGAAGGTGCTTGGTGTCGGGGTTTTTATAGGGCTTCCCAAAGGCAATTTGCTTTTTGTTTTTTTGCCACTGAATTTCAAGCGTGATGACATCAGCCCCTGGGGACCCAGAGGGTGGGGGGAAGAGGTGAGGAGGGGTGGTTTGTCTCTGCTGAACAGAAGGGAACCCCCCTCCCACCGGGTGTCGGGAAAGAAAAAAAGCTTTAGGACAATAACTGATGAAGTTCAAGGAAACTCCTGTCTCCAAAATGCTGCAGGTGCCAAGGGGTGAAGCAACTGGCCCTAGGCTCCTCCTCCTGAAGAGGACTATAAAACTGGGATTTACCAGGAAATGAGAGGGACAAGAGCATCCTCCCATTGAGCAGAAGTGTCACCAGAGCAGGTAATCCCAGCAGCGAGGCATTGGTGGTTTGTTTGATGCTTTTCTTGAATCCATTCAGCGTTTGGTCCTTTGGCTGAGCCTTTCATAGCTCTCCTTCTTCTAAAGCTCCAGCTCTGCCACTGAACTGGGAGTGCAGGTGTGAACTCTGGAGCTTCCAGGGGGCACTGGGGGCCTTCGCTCCCAAAGGAATGGTTGGATTTTGGGGCTCTTTGCTTTGTCCAACAGTGAAACCTGGAGGTGTTTGACATGCTGCATATTATTTGGGGCAGAATAACAGCCTGCTGTCATACACCTCGTATTTAAAACTGCATTTTCTACTAACTACCATGCAGACCTTTACATGTAGCAATGTGCCTCCAGCAATTTGGTGCTGTTTGGCACCAGAGGAGGGTTTTTTAATGGATTTTTTTAATCCAGCTGTGTGGTGTTGTCGTGCACTGATCATCTTGCTGTTTGTTTATCCAAAGTGAATTGCTTTTCTGTTCTCTCTCCATGTTTATTTGGAGAGAGGCAGCGTTTCCTCGGAGCTGCACAAACATTTCTTATCACTAATAAGGTGGGATGGAAAACTAAGGGCAAAATGCCACTGGGTGTCTGAGAAGTTAATGGGCTGGTAGTTGTTTATGTGTCCCACGGCACGTGGAGCTTTGCTCCAGCCTCCAAAGCAGGGAATGTCCATGCACCAGAATATTCCCATTAATACTGGCCGGGTTGAAGCACCACCAGCAGCTGGATGTTGGTGCAAAGAGGATGCAAAGCCTGGTCTAACAGAGATGGAAACGGGGTGCAGAGGGGGGTGAGCTGTTCTGGAGGGGGTGAAGGGCAGCTGTCTGTGAGAAAGGTGGTGAGTGAAGGAAGTGGCATCCAGAAGCTGCCCCACGTGGGCACAACTCAGAGGTCACGAGCCTGGACAGGGGCAGGACCTCACATGCCACTTCTGCCACTCCCAGGGTGAAGAGGGTCAGGCACAGGCAGGGGAAGGAGAAAAGGTGGAGGAGGCTGGTTGAGAGAGGGGTGGCTTTGGCTGTGCCCTCACTGCAGGAGGGGTTTTGTGCCAGGCAATGACCACCCCGAGCTGACCCATCTCTTCGGTACAAGCAGCTCTCTGGCAGCTCCCCAGGTCTCCAGGTGCCTCCTCACCATGGGAAGGTCTCCATCCTCATGTTTTGCTGCACTGTGGCTGTGCTGGCTGATGCCCTGCGTGTGCAGAGAGCTGCCAACCCCACCTGGAGGGAGGGATTCCCGTTTGCTGCTCTGCCCCTTGTGTGCCCTCACCTTATCGTGCCACATTCTCAGTTCTCTGCGGTGCAAGGGGACAAACAGGTCCTTACAAAGTGCCAGAGGCAGCAGCTGCACAGAAGGGGCAGTGCCAGAGCCAGGAGTGGTGTTATCCTTGGGACAAGGGCATATTTGAGCAGGAAACCTCTCTGGGGGTTCCCATGCAGACCCTCTTTCTCCAGCCTCACTGCAGCCCACGACATTCCAGTGCTGATGCTCCTGGGAGAACTGGAGGGCTTTAATTCTTTGGTGTGTCCTCATGTTGGATGAAATAGAGTCAGGGGCATTGCACAGCTGCTGGAATGGCCTTGGGACAGGGGCCAGAGGCTGTGTTGGCATTGTGGGGTGGTGGATGTGCAGCTGTTTCCAACCCCAAAACCTTCTCCTCCCAAGGGAACCTCCTTCATCCTCCTCCTTTTCCATATCTTGGATTGAACCCTCTCACATCTTTTACAGCTCTGTAGCATGTTCTGGTATTTCTCTTCCCCCCTTCTCTGGTGTCCTAGGAAGGCTGGCACTGGAAGCAGAGGGAAACATCCCTGTTGTGTCTCTACATCCTTCACAAATCCCAGATGTCTGTCACAGGCTCTAAATCCCCCAGCACAGCCAGTTACACAGAAACCACCAACAAAATGAGCCTTGGCAAACTGAAAACCACTTCTGGGAGCCAAGGAGTCACCTGGCCAGCCCATCTGCCTCCAAAAACCCACCTCATCCTCGTCCAGGGACCAACTCCACACAAGGGGCTTGTTGCACCGTGCCCAGAAAGGCACTGCCTGAGCTCCTTCAGAGCAAAACATCTGGAGGAACTTAAGATTGTGGCCCTTCTCCAAGACTAACCTTTGAAATCAGACCACTTATTTAAAGAGGAATGTCATTGAAAGTAATAATACTAATAAAAAAGTTCTGGACTCCACAGGCCCAGCTCTGCCTGAGAGCCCCTTGTTCCTCGGGGCCTCCTTCAAGTCAGTAGCACAGAGAGATGTTTGATGTTGAGAGAGAGTGTTCCCCCCTCAGAGCTGGGATTTGGTGCATCACTCTTTCGGAGCCAAAAATTCCAACCTTCAGCACAACCAAATAATTGAATAATTAATTGCCCCCCTGGGTTCACTTGAAAGTTTTTGCCCCTTCCCACGTTCGATGGGAGTTTATGTTGCCGAGCCAGTTTGGAGCCAACTTATCCTTCATCCTGCTCTCTTTGGGAAAACTGCAACCTTTAGGATAAATGGAGAGAGGAAAACATGGGGTTTTTAGTAGAACAAGAGAGTCCCAAGAGCACTGATGTTTGCAAAATGTGTATTTGTGCCGAGGAAAACTGTGTGTTCCTGGGATTTAGGTTCATTATTATTCACATCACTATTTCTTTTTCGGGTGGTGCTCCTTCCCTCCTCCCCGTATCAATAGTGGTGCTTTCCTCCCTTTCCAAAAGGCTCTTTGGAATGGCTGAGAACAGAATACATCACTGTCTCCCTTTCCAGCTCTTTTAGGTCATCAAATGTTCTAAAAATACCCAAATAACAAGAACATCGCTGTTTTATTTTCATCTTTGTTTCCCAACAAAAAACCTCCAGAGAGAAAACTTCAGCTCCTGGTACCCAGGAGTGCAGAGGAACAGGAATGTGGGGGCTGCCTGCAAACAGGCGAGTTCATGGTAGAAATATGAAGGGTTTGAAAATAGACTATTTAGTCACTGGGGTTTCAAGAAAGGGATGGAGCTGGAAAATTCCATCTGGAAGGGAGGCTGTGTATGTGAGTGTCGTGCCTGTTTGTCTGTAACAGTGGATAAGAAACGTCCTGGAACGGCTCAAAAATACCTTGTGGCTTTCGCCTGAATGTTTGTCCGTCCACGTTGGGTTATTCATTCCTCCCCATCTCCAGCAGCCTGGACAAGAGGGGACAGGAACCATCCCCACCACCTGCAGCGCTTTGGGGCACCTAAACATGTTTTTGCCAGAACTCCTTGTAGCCTAAATGGCCTGTGTGTGTTTTTTCTGGATAGGACTCCGGAAAGCAGGCACCTAAAGTGGTGCTTTGAATCGAGCCTTTGTCTGGAGCGAGGAGCGGGGAGGCACCATGGAAACACCTGAGCCTGTCACCAGTTGCTCCCTCCTCGGGGCAGGGGCACGGCTCTGAAGGCTGGCCGGGAGCCCGAGCAGTGCCAGTCTAGACGCCGACGGGGTTGTGGGGGCGACGGCCGACGCTCTTGTTTTGTCTGGAAGGGCCATGGCGGGGTTCGCCGCCGTCTTCTACAGCGAGCCGGCCGTGCTGGGGCTCCTGGGCAACGTGGTCAGCGCCTTCCTGCTCTGCCTGCAGAACTTCGCCGTGGCTCAGAGCGGCCTCAGGCCGCGGGGGGCAGAGGACATCCTGGCAGGTGGGTGGTGCTGCTCGGCGGGGGCACCGAGGGGCTGGTTGGAGGGGAACGCCCAAGCTGGCGGCACCAGGCGGGATGGACTCTTGGAGAGCCATCCCCGTGGGATGATGGTCACCATTACTGGGGATATGTGGGCTGTCTGTGTGCCCCTGGGGGTGGCTGCTCCTCATTCCTCAGCCGCTGCCCAGAGTCTGGTCCAAACCTTCCATGTGCCATTCCCTGCCACTTTCCTACACCCAAACTGCTCCTGGGCCTGCTCCCCACACCGAGCGTGCCAAGGGGCTCAGCGCCCACACAGAAATCTGACATAAAGGCGGGAAGAGAGGGGAAGGCAGAGGCCACAGGGCTGCTCACGGGAAGGCTGTGGGACCTGCTTCCTGCAGCTCAAGCCCTTTTGTGGTTTGCCTCACACCTGACCACTTCACATGTCCCTCAGGTGTCCACCTCGTCCTGATTGGAGGCTTCGTCCAGCTCCTGGCAGGATTCCTCGCCTTCCGCAAGTACGACCACCTTGGGGGCGCGGCCTTCCTCACCTTCTCCGCCCTGTGGAGCAGCTACGGGGCCACACGGATCGTGTCGGCCGCCTACCCCTCCCCACAGAACACCACCCTGCCCGCGGGGAATGGCAGCCACCTCCTGCCCCTCGGCGCGGCCCAGCTCTCCGCCAGCCAGAGCGCGGTGGCCGGGCTGGTGGCCTACATCTCCATCTCCTTCGTCCTCTGCTTCTGCTCGGCCACTGTCAACTACATCATGCCCTTCATATTCGGGGCCCTCGCCCTCGCCCTGGTGTTCGAGGCGGTCGCCCTGTTCTGCCAGTGGGCCCTGGTGGTGTCGGGGGCCATCGAGCTGGTCATTGTCACCTGCGGGTTGTACGGGGCGGTGGCTCTGCTCCTCA